AACCTGACCCGGCACAGCCTCCCCCATGCAACCTGGAGAGGGACCTCATCAGATTCTGGTGGAGTTTGTGTGCTTGCTTGGGATGGATGATTCTTTTCCACCTGGTTTCTGCAGCCTCTTGGGCCTGTGAAAGCAAACACATGTTGCATCCCTTCCATGCTGCTGGAGAGCAAGGGCACGGCTTGGCTCTTCCATCCCTGTTTCCATTTATGAGCTCATTTATCCCATCCATCTTTCTCCAACATCAAGTACCTGATTAGGCTGAGCAGGAACACAACAGGCTTTCTTTCCCACAGGAGGCTCTTTTTGACCTTCCTTTCCTCTCCTTGTCTGACAAATTGTGGGAGCTGACCCATATCTCAGCGGCTGCAGGGATAATTCAGTCCAGCCCCATCCTGGCAGGCAGCTGTCTCTGCAGCCCTTCTCCACTGTTCTGCTGGTTGAGAACAAGTGGCTGGGACATCTCGGGCCAGCCCTTGGCAGGGTTGGGTGCAAGTGTTCGTGTTAAATAAGAACCAGTGCTAACCTTTGCCCCAAACCCACTCTGACTGGGAGGATGTGCTCTTCAGCTGGTTCTGCAAGGCAGATGATGAATTGAAGAGGTTTCGTAGTCTTCCCGTGCCTCCCTCTCCCTGTCTGGGAAGGGGATGATGCAGGTATGACTGAGTGACGTTCTGCAGTGTGTCTGGGCCCTGGGCACGGCTGGAACATGAAGAACCTGCTAGGACGTAATCTTTTAACTTGTTTTCCATGCAGGCACTTCTGTATCTGTGCACTTGCCCTCAGCAGAGCTGAGCAGTGCATGTAACACATCTCCTGTCTATATAATGCATTTTTTGGAAGCCAATTAATGGGGACAAAAGCCCCAAACATCTCTAGCAGGTATGAACGGTTGCCTTCAATGACCTGTATTATACATGTCCTGCCATACCTTTGGCAAGCAGCATATTTAAACAGCACGAGGTCTCTTTGCTATGCACAGAGAAATGATTGCGAAGAACTTGTCTTGTTAAGAAGCAGCAGGTTTCTGCAGTGCCAGTTTTTCTGCTCTTGGGTTCTTCACACAGCCCTTTTTGCAAGTGCTGGCTGCCCTGGTCCCAGCATACAACCGTAATTGTGCAATTCTGCCCCAGCAGCCTCTCAAACAACATCTCCACAGGCAGACCAGCAGCTTCAAAACTTCTTCCCCTTCCCATCTTCTTCCCACCAGTCTGGGTTTAGCAGACGTAGCCTTCACCCTGGGCTTAACATGGTGTAACAGTATCCTCTGGCAGGGGGAATCTTTAGTGGCTGATAAAACCTTAACTGTTGTGAAATGAAAGCAGGTTCCCTTTGAAGTGCGCCTCGCATTACAGTTAGATGCTTTAGCCTCTATATTTTAACTACCAATAAAATGATTTATAAGCATAAAGGCCTGAGCCACCTTTAAGGCGGGGGAAGGGAAAGAATTGCTAACGTCATTAGCTGGAATGTATCTGCTTTTTTTTTCTGTGGGTTATAAGTAAGGGGCAGAATCAACCTGTTTGGGCCATGAAATGCCCCTTCCTCTGCACGGGAAGATAAATCCTATCAATTTCTTTGTGGAAGGTTTCAGTGTATCTGGGGCTGCGTTCTCCAGCCAGGCTGGAAGCAGTGCACTGCAGCATGTAGTTGTGAATCACATTTGGTTGCAAATGTATTTACTATCGCTATTGTTTATTATTCCTTTTGCTGTGATGCTCCAGCTGAGACACAGATCTCACTGTGCTGGGTGTGGTGCATACCGGCAGTTAATGAGAGCCTCTGACTCAGGTGGTTGATTCTTGAAATAAATTAAAATGTGTGAAAACGTGGGTTTTATCCTCACTGTAGAAGTTGTAACCTGATGCATGGAGACTGTGTAAGGACCAAAATTTATTGAATGAAGTAATATTTCCACTGACTTCAAACTGGGAAAGCAAAGCTTCCCTGAAGTCATACAAGGATCCCATAGTATAATTAGGAACTGACTTTTTCTCTGGTTGTAGTCCAATGCCATGCAAAATAGCATTCCCTCCTTTCTTCCCATACCCTTATGTGTTGCAGACTGAAGTTTGGAGGGCACCCCAAGAATGGCCCCTGCAGAGGCCTTTCTGGTCAATACAACATGGTTGTAAAAGGATCCAATGTATCCTTTTATCTCCCTTAAAAATGAAATGAAATGAAATAAATAAATAAAATAAAATAAAATAAAATAAAATAAAATAAAATAAAATAAAATAAAATAAAATAAAATAAAATAAAATAGCAGCTCTGCACCCTCACGTGGATGTGGAGAAGCAAGATGGGAGGTGTTATACACACAGGTGTGAATTTTAACTCTATGCAGATACGTGTGTTGGTGCATGGGCAGCACGAACCTCATGTGGTGTAATGTAATACAGTGCAAATCTCTCCAAAGTTGTGTTTTGATCATATGTTAGCCGAGCCGACTGACAAACCACCACAGGGAAACCAGAGTACGCGTGGAGATGGTGTTGGAGAACCCTAGTCCTACACTAGACCTTCTCACTCCACATGTTTCTTCTGAACTTCTAATCCCCAGTGGATTTGCCAACATCTGGCTCTTGGTTATAAAAAGGAACTTTCCCACCCTTTCTGATGTTGGGAAAGAGTCAGAAATCACCAGAATGGCTTTTACTTTCTTGGACTTCATCTTCTCTTTCCCTCCCAACTCCTGGATTCGTAGGTCCTTGGTTATTTGAATTTTTTATGCTGTCCTCAGCACTGAGATCTTTGTTGGAGTGGGAGCTCTTCCAGACACAGGCTAGGCCCTTTTCTATGAAGAGAGGAGGTATATATATATCTCCTGGTGTTCTAGTTAATAGAAATATTTGGCAAGTTTTTATGTCCTTAACTGTGCAAGTGAAAGCAAATGATATGAGAGGAGGAGACACGTAGTGTACCCTTAATGTGCATGAGTTAACAAATTCCTGCACGTGTGAGAAAAGGACAGGACCATCCACTTTTTATGAGCAGGGCAAAGGAAAGGTTATTTATTTGTGTTGCTCACAGCTCCTAGAAATTGGGCTGTGTAAAAATGTTATAAAGTGCTACAGACCTTGATGTTCATTCATTTTTCTCTCCCTAACTCTGTCCTAGATTTTGCTAGCGACTTCTGGTGCCAAAAATGAGCACAGAGATTCTGACCTGCATGGACTCTGTTGATCAATGCAGATCGGATGTAAGCTGACCTATTTCTGTCAGGCTTTTGGAAGGTGCTAAGAGGTTACGCTGCTTCAGTAGCGCAGTGCAGTAGGAACAGGTCTGCAAAGAGGCACATTGGGTGCCAAGGACCTGACATCAGCACTGTATACATTTCAGGGAGGTTAATTTAGATGAGCTCCTCAAAAACTGGGCTTTTTTTCTTTGTTTGTTTGTTTTCATTGTGCATGGATGTAAATAACAGCAAGAACTGAAGGACTGACCGGGACAAGGCCATCGCCAGCAGGTCACACACAGCTGTCATTAGCGGGTCTGAATCAAACTGTTTCTAAAGCACACTAGTTAGATGAGTAACATGTCCAAAGAGCAATAATAGACTGTGATCTAGAGAACCTCAAAGGAATTTGTGCATAAAGCTCGTCATATGCTTGTTTTTGCAGCAGCACTGCAGTGTGTGTGGACTTGGAGCCAACACTCCATTAAATGAGAAGCTCTAAATGAAAACAGGTTGCCTTGTTGAGTGAATATACACACCCACAGGTGCCAATAACAAAAAGGCAAGCTAAGAAGTGAGCATTTACAGAGAGACTCAATTTAAAGGCCAGAGCAAGACTCGCACTTTGAGATTTGGATCATGTCGGAGCATTGGACTCAGATTCCGTTATGTTTAGGGAAGAGAGTTTTGTTTTGGTTCACAAGATGTGGGGACAGTTTGGATTGCAGTGCCTCAAACCCTTGTAACCCCAGCTTCTGATCTGACGTTGAGCAGCTTGGAAGCCTGACGGAGGTTTTTTTTTCTCCGAATGTCTTACGCTCTTGATTTTTGCTCCATTTTTTCTTGTTGCTGTGAAATTTAATCATGTTTCCTAGCCCTTTAGGCCTCACAAAGTCCAGCAGCTGCATTCTCATCTGGCTTGAAAGCTTATCCGCATACTTCTGAACCCCAAACAGAGATCGGTCCTGAGAGCCTCTCTGATTAAATAAAGTAAACCAAGCCCAAGAGACAGCTTGAGAAGCCCTTTCCGCTATCCAGAAGGGAGATTGCTCATGATAAAACACATCAGGGCAGACAAATGCATTTAGAAAAATCTCTCCTAGCGTCTTACAGGTAAAGTAGCACTGTAGGAAACATGAGCTTGGCTTTGCACATGCATTAATACCGAGTTTATTTTAATGCATGGAGATTTAAATTGGCTGCAGTACAATGCTAGTGCACACTGCAGTGCCTCTTGCAAGGAGAGCATGTCTTAGCATACAGACAACAGTGATTTGCTGCAGTACAGAGAAGCTAAGAAAACCTTGTATTCCCTCCGGTCTGGTTCTATCTATTTAGCTTGTCTAACATAGAAACCATGATGCTAATCTGTCTATTTATCCCTCCTAACAGTGCAGCCGTGTTGCTATTATGGTACATAATCCTTCAGCATAATTCACATAGTTGTCAGATAACAAGGCAGAATGGCCAGGTGGTAGCAATGCATCTATTTGGTATGGACTGTCTCAGAATACACAAGCTAAATTTTTCCTCTTCGTCTCACCCTACTGCTGATAGCACCCTCCCATGCTCTTAACAGTATCTTTCACAATTTTAAATGCATGTGTCTTCACCCAGGAAACAGAGCAGTAGTAGTGCTGTCACTTGAAAGAAAGGAAACTAAGGAACAGAGACCAACATTCTCAAAGTCAATATCAGGCAGCAATTTGAATTTGAACCTGTTTTTGGCCAGTGCTGTAACTCAGGATGCTGTAACCCAGTCTAGGTGTGATAGGACAGCTGCTCTGAGAGTCACACGTACTTTTTCCTGTCCCTGTCTCAGGTGTGGTTCAGCAACCGAAGAGCGAGATGGCGCAAACAGGCAGGAGCGAACCAACTCGCGGCTTTCAACCACCTGCTGCCGGGGGGCTTCCCACCCACAGGAATGCCAACGCTGCCCCCGTACCAACTGCCGGACTCCACCTACCCAACCACCACCATTTCCCAAGGTGAGCACCCCTTCACCTGCACTCCTGCTCTCCATAACTCGTCCCATTGGCACCTCCTTTTCTGATTCGTGACGTTTCTCTTAGATTCTTGTAACAGGTAGGTGGTTTTCCTTTAGCTGGGGAGGCCAGCTTTTGCCTCAAGTCATTGGAGACTCCGCTTTCTCCTCTGGAGAGCAGGCAGATCTGGCCTGCCCACTGTCTCATGGACCTTTCTGCTACACCAGTGTGTCTCATGACTGTTGTCCTGCTCAGATTTGAAATGAAGAGCACATCAGTCCGAAGTGAGCATGGTAGAGGCTTCCCTTTGTGGTTCCCTTCCTTTTCCTTTGTGGTTTTGCTAGGAGTATTGCTAATTCTAGCCGGCTTTGGCCTTGGCCTTTACAAAGGAATTTGCACCCTTGGTCTGGAGGAAAAATAAGAGAAAATTCAGACGTTTCATCCCAGGTTTGCACATTTTGTGCTGTCATGTGTCATGTTTGTGTTCACCTGGAGCACCTTGATGGTAGGACACAGAAGCTGAGATCAGGACAGCCAAACTGCCAGTCCATGCTTTGCGCAGCACCAGCCGTACCACCCCACGACTGTTGGTTGACCTTTGAACAATCTCTCCGCAGATGGGGGAAGCACTGTGCACAGACCCCAGCCCCTGCCGCCATCCACCATGCACCAGGGAGGGCTTGCCGCAGCCGCTGCTGCCGACACCGGCTCTGCCTACTGGGGCCCGACACAGCTTCTCCAGCTACTCAGACAGCTTCATGAATGCTGCAGCTCCTGCCAACCACATGAATCCTGTTAGCAATGGCCTCTCTCCACAGGTATGTGACCTGCTTCCATTCTCTTTATTTGGCTGACAGTATTTGGCTGGTCCAGATCCTCTGAGAGCAGGGCAGACTTCAGGCTATCACAATGAATTATGGTAAACAAGGGAGTTATTATTATTGTCAGGAATTCTTGGAGGCAGCCTCGTTAAAACAATTAGTTAATTTGTTTATCGGCAGTATCTATCCTGAGCTCAGCACTACGCTGCCAGAGCATTTGTATCCTGTTAGTTCCTTTATTCAGGATAGCAGACTGTAATTGCAAACAGCAGGACGTAGAGCATTGGTGTTTGTCTTCTCAGCACTCCAGAAAAATTCCAGTGCAGGTGTGTGCCCTTCATTTGTCGATTTTAGCCTAATGGCAGCAAGCTTGATTTTCTCAGTTACCTTTTGCAGACTCTTTAGAAGTAGGCCATGATTTGTGGACCACTGATCTAGAGATTAGTTGGAGCCAGCTTGTCCAAGTCTGGCTGAAACTTGGAAAGCCACTAGTTGTGAAAACGCCATGGATCTGACTTTCCTGCAGAACATAAGGATTTGTAGATCAGGGATTTAGTTCTGAGAAATGTTTTGTCATGTAATCAGTTCTGCTAAATGCTTTCCACAAGATCAGAATAAGAGATGTAGGTAAGCTTTAAAGGAGGAAAGATACGTTTCACATGCATCTGCTGGTGTAAAAAATGGAGTGTGTGTGTGTTTTAAGGATACCAGGCAACATCTACGGCCTCCCCATATATCACACCCTTGATTTTGAAATCCCTGCCTGAGCTCAGAATAGAGTGCCAAGGCTTGGCCCAGCTGCCTTCTGAAGGGCCCTGTCCCCAGGTTTTATCAGGTTGCTGCCAGTTGCATGCACAGCTTTTCAGTGCTGCACATGACAGAGAAATGAGCCTCAGCAGTGTAGAGAGGTTAAGTCTTCCATCATCAGCAAGTCTGGAGAGTACAGAGAGCAGAGCTCGTGCTATGTGTATGTAATGGGAGCAGACTTATGTTCTCAGTTGGTGAGCTCTACTGAGGTCAATGGAGATGTCGGGGTTTGCACCAGCTGAGAATACAGCCCACGCTAGATCTGCTCTCTATCACCATCCTGGAATAAGAATTCTAATATTTTGTCACCTCATTAGATAGAGCCTTTAATCTTCTCTTTGGTTTACTTGATGTAATCTATATTCTAAATACACATTTCCTTTTAAGTGCAACAAAGCACACTAAAAAAATAACAGCAAGGACGTGTGTTCTTGTGTTGTCTGCAGTCCTGGAAGGGTACCAAATATGTTTTGCTTTTGTTCTCGGTCACTTGTGAAATATGGAGACATATGAAGTGCCCTGTAGCAGTTGTTTCAGAGTGGCCAGTAACACTATTTAAGACAGGAAGTACAAAATAATTTGAAACTACAGGAGAAATGAGGTAGGTATCTGAAATGAAAAGGCTACAACTGTTTAGAGAGGAGTCCAATAAATGGGGACATCACAGAGGTATATAGATTTTAAGGTCCAATATCTTGTGATCTCTCAAGTGTGAAAACAAACATTGAGTGTCAATGGAAAGAGGGAAATTTTGCAGCTTCTCTGAAATGGTATAAAAATCCCACTTCTAGCTTTGAATGGTCATGAGATAGAAAATGTAAAGTGTGACTGGCACGGGACTGAATATTGCTTCAAACAGTGTAATTTGTGGGGGAAATAGGGAGACATCTTTATGACAAGGGATTTCTAATAGCACTAGGGCTTGGGAGATGAGCATATGGTATGGAATTCAAAGGCAGGCTGCAGGTTAGATAGGCCAGGGCACATGACTAATTCAGATTTTCACAAGTGCAATTTAGAACTGAAGAATAAGTTAAGGATGAGATGCACGTGATAAGCTGCACAAACACTAGTCCATCATGCAATTTCCATTTCTGTAGGTTCATCATCTACTTACTAGTCCTGCTTGCTAAGTCAGAGACTCATTAAAATGACCAGACCGATGCTTTTTCTGTGCTTATCCCTATCCCAAATTACCCTGCCCCCAGGCTCAGAGTAGGGGAAGATAGAGTCCTGAGCCAATAAGCCCTTTGTATGGGAAAGAGAGGATACATTATCTTGAAGTCCTGAAGAAAAGAGAGCTTTGCACCCCCAAGAAGGGGAGATTCCTATTTCCCTAATGCTTCTAATCATGCGAGGTCCAAGATATCAGCATATAAATTCTTCTATTCTTTTGTGCATGAAAAGGCTAACCCAGGTTATTTTATGAGTGCTTTATATTTACTGATCTTGCCAACTTCCTGCCTTTCTCAGCTCTCTGCTGTTCCTAGTGGAGGGATGCGAGAAATACAGAAGTATCCTCATCTATATAGTGGGGGGTGTGTAAGTGTTGCGAGGTCTCAATATGATTCAGCTGTTTCACAGCATTACAGGTAAAGCCCCTAGCACCTCAAGCCTCCCATTCTCCTGAGCAAGTATCTGTGGTATCTGTTTGCTCTCTGCAGGGGTAAATATCAACCACAGGGAAGGAGAGTGTTCAGGAGGTAGAAAAAAAATGGGAACTTCAAATGATGGCAATTTGTCTGAGAGCTGCAAACAGACAGTTCTCTGGTTTCATCCTCCAGCAGCAGCAGGAGGGAGATTTCTTTGCAGTTTGACAAGGGGGTGGGTGCCTGCCAGGTCAAGAGCTCCCAGCATTTGCTGCCGCTCAGCACACTATCCAGTTACCCTGGGATTGGGTGTCCCGGCCAGAATCCACCAGACAGGCTCGGTGCTGGCAGTTGAAATTCAAGAGGAGAAGCATGGCATTTCCATTCCCACAACAGAGAAAAGGGGATTACGTTCGGCCTCTGCAGTCTCGGTGCGCTCCCCCTGCGTGCACTTCGGTCCTCCCCCTCCTGACAGAAAGGGCAGACCTTGCTGAAAGTTCTACCCAAACTTCACATGGGAAATGGCCACGTTTCTTGCTTGTTTTCCAGCCTGCAGCATGCACAGCTTTGTGCCTCGTCCAGTTCTGCTCCTGGATCTCTAAAGCCCTCCTCAGGAAGTGACATCTAGTTGCCCCAGTTTAGAGGCTGTTGTGCCTTTATTCCAGAGCTGAGACTGCCAAGGGGCAAGAAGTCAGCTTGGAAGTTCAGCTAGCTTCATCCCATGATGATGTTTTACTTCACCTAAGAACACTGTCTCGGTTGTGCAAAGGAGAGTCCCACACAATTAAACTGCTACCCAGCACGATCCTTTATTCCCTACCCCTTCCCAGATCTTAGTGAGAGACCTCAGGGTAATCCTGAGCAGTTATTTCAGATTGCTTCGTGCTGGGACAGCCTTTGTAGGAGAGAGATCTTGCTCTGAGTGTAGCCTGTTTGAGAATATGTATGTCACGGGCTGCCCAGCTGCAGCCAGATGAGTCACCTTGCATCTGCCGGGGTGCACTCAGCGGCTGCAGCAATCACAGATTAGCAGAAAGCAGCTCAGTACCAGGGAGCCGGAGCATGCCAGCAGTGAGGTCCCCATCTCTCCCCAGAGGTCGCGTGGGTTAGCAGCAGCTGTCACCGGATTCAGCTGGCCTGACTGCGGCTGGGAGCTGTCTCCTGGCTAGCTGATGCCTGTGCCAAAATTTAGTGAAGAGATACGGGCCTGAAGCAAAGCTAAATACAAAGGGTGAGAACCAGAGGTAGCAGTCATCCAGTGGGTGGTTTCTGGCCCTGGAGCCTTGGTCTCACCATTTCTCAAAGCACTGGAACAGAGTAGGTTGTAAAACAAGCGTGTGTGGAGATGGGTGGGATTTCATGGATACCTTTTAAACATTTCCAACTCGTTTTCATCCCACAGAGGAGTCGTTTCCCTTTTATCTGAGAATACCTGTCAAATCCAACTAGAGCAACGCCAGGCACCAAGAGATACTTGGCCAGGTCCTGCTTCACACTGACAGCAAAACAAACTTTGCATCCAAAAGTTCAGATCTTTGCTAGCTGGGACTCGCCTCTCACTGTGGCTGCTGTAAAGTTTATGACAAGTGGCTCATTGTAGTGGTAAAATCAGTATAACTTCAGATCAACATTTGCCTGATGGTCTTTCAGGAAAGGGGTACGCAGTGTGGGCTGAGGTGGAAGGAAATAAATTGATTAGTACCTTACAAGTCAACACAAAGAGAAAAGTGAGGGCCACGTTTGACTGAGCCTCTGCTGTTTCTGATGATGGGCAATTCCCTGGGTGCTTTTCAAACAACAAAGAAGTAGGGTCATATTGTATTCTGGGCTACTTTCCTCTCTAGTACATCTCTTCTGCCTTTAAAATGCCTTCACATTTTTAGAAGGATCCTGTGCACTGCTTCCCCTCCTGACATTTCTGCTTCCTTTTTAGCTCCTGGCCTGTTATCTCAAATGTGTCTGATTCACTTCTTCACTGTAGCATGTTGGGGTCTTGCAAGGGGCTGTTGAAAAGCAGAAGACAATTAGTTTATTGCAAATGGCCACTGTCTAGCTGAAGAATATATTGAGGCATAGTTAAGAGTCAGGCGCTTCCTGTGCTTTCATACCATGTTATTTCTGAGAGCACCTGACTCTTTCAGCAAACCCACAGGATCACCAGAAGATTAAGACACCTCCAGAAACACCAAGAGCCAAGAGAAACTTGTTCATCATCTCATATTTGTTGCTTTAATTTTCCTGGGGCTTTCAGTGGATTTTTTTGCTCTCTGAGCAAGTTCACTCCCAGTGTAATGGCAGGATAGTCAGCACGGAGAGTTAATGTGGCTGTGGCTGGAGACTGAAGGTTGGAATCAGGTTTTACAATTTCAGGTTTATCACCATTCCTGGAGGGAGCCTTAAAGGCACAGGTCAGGCTCTGCCTGCAAATTTACGTCCTAAACTCGGGGACATTCTTAGTCTACACAAGCGTAGCACAGTTTCACATTTCCTGACATCATCCCAGGGCTCCAGTTCTTTCCACTGTCCAGGGTAATGTTTTCCTCAGCCCCAGTGGAGTGGGATTAGGGATCATCTGAATCCTTGTCAGGAGCACGCTGGTCC